TATGAACCAGAGACACTCTATGGGAGGTGAGGGGCGGGGAGGGGAGGGATTGGGGTCAAAATAAGGGGATTGCAAATGTATGGGGAATATAAAAATAAAACTTATTTAAAAAAAAAAAAAAGACCTGGGTTGGGTGGCACCTGACTGCAAGGAAGGGACTGAGGTCCTCTATGGAGATATGTGAGGTGCAAAGGGGATGGACCCCAAAGTAACACCATGGAGCCCCAAAATTTAAAGACTGCAAGAGAGAAAAGAGCCTACAAAGGAGACTAAGGCAACTTCCCCAGAGCTAAGAGAAAAGGCAGAGAGTATCAAGTTCCTAAGTGGAAGACATGGCATTCGCTAGCAAGATGAGTGGCTGAGCCTCACATCTCTGCGATAGAAACAGATCTGTAAACATAACATTTTCAAAATCATTTTCACTCAATGAAGGGACAGCTCCATCCTACTAGTGCGAATAGTTTATTTTTAATCTTTGACTAGCTGAAATAGTGCACCGCTAGCTAGGGGTTTGCTAGACCATGGCTCCAGTCCTGGTTTGCTACGAGCTCTGGAGTCTCAGAAAATAGTTTAAATTGCTTAAGGGTCTTTGGTTCCTCATTTATTAAGTCATAGCGTGGGAATAAATCATCTTTAAAGTTGTTTTCCAGTCCTAACATTCTACTAACATTTATACATGTGAATATATGAATATGTGTAACAGCCCATTTTCCAATATTATCGAGAAATGGAGAACGCGCATAGGAGAGAGATTGTGACTTGATTTGATTGGTTAGGGAAGCAAACACTGGCAGGCGTATGTTAATTTCGAGAGTAGTAGCTGACAGTATGATCTTTCATTTGGAAAGTATTTCAATACCAACTGGATGAGTTAGAGCAAATATCCCCAGGGCTTCTAGCAGTACCAGAGAACTGTCAGAGCTCCAGATGAAGCCAAGGAGTTCAGTTGGGTTATGAAATGCCCCGGGCTTCTAGGCAACTAGAGCAGAGTATCTACCTGCCCACGCTGTTGTACAGCGACTCCTCCTAGTTCAGGGAGGGCGTCGCAGACGGCAGACCCACGTTGCAGTCCAACCGAGAGCTCTCTACCTTTGGGCTTGGCGTAGGCAGAAGTTGACTGATGTGATAGCAGGTGGTGAGCTGGTGGCCGTGGGAGGTTGTAACTCCTTGTGCCTTCTGCCAATTAATTCCCAAGAAAGAATCATTGCAAAGAGAGATTTCCAGCCTCACCCCACACCCTCTGGGAGAAAAGAATTAGAGATACAGAAAAACAAGGGCATGACGAGCAGCCATCAGTCCCAACTTGCTCTCAAGCAAGGTCTCTCAGCCTGGGCACTGTAGATATTCAGGGATGAGTAATTCTCTGCTGTGGGGCTGCCTGCTGCATTGGAGGATGATCAGCAGGAGTCCTGATCTCTACCCACAAGAAGCCAGTAGCACCCTCTCCACACATATGACAACAAAGCGTTTCCAGACATTCCCAAATGTCTCCCCTATTGCTCCCAACAAGAACCTCTACTCAAAGAATGCTGCCCCCAAAAAAAGTCCCAGACAAATCAGGCTGGTTGCGAGTGACACAGCCCACCCTCCACAGTGACAGTGAGTGATGTTGTTTATGCAATCCAAGCGCTAACTAACACCTGCAGACAATTCCACCTACCCCATTCGAAAATCTTTCATCTAGAAATGGAAACTCAGGCTGACAAACTGTCCTTGGATGGACCTACAGTACAAAGTCAACCTTATGCTCCCAGTAGCTATTTCTTAACCTATTTACTGTGACTGAAATCTCCAAGTGGCTCCCCGAAACAGCCTGTCTGTGAAGCCAGTCTGTGAAAGAGAAAAAAAGGAAGGGATTCCTGATGAGAGCACCCAGCTTGAGCTCCACCTGTCACTCACTAGCTGTGTGATCTGGGGCATTGTTTCCACTTGACTGTTTACTCATCTGCAAAATGAGAGCAATGCTATCTGCTTGTCTCGCTCAGTGTGTCGCTGTGCAGCCCCACGCAAGGCTGGTGACTTCTAAGCCAGCGCTACAATGGCGGGCGCTGGGCGCTTAGTGTTATCTGCAAGTATTAGCCTGATTATTACAGCGTCCTATCTCCGTGTTGACACATTCCATGCAGGAATTCCAGGAAATGCTGGAATCCAGCTTCTTTCCTTTTAGTGCTAACTCGACCAGAAGTCCTTTCTACTTATTTTCACCCAAAATTGTCCATCAGTTTCAACAAAGAACAACAAATATTTAAAGCCTACTATGTACCTTTAGGATATATCAGTGGCTAAAAAGACCAGGATCCCTGCCCTCAAAGGGCTTATTTTTCAAATAGGGTGGGGAAGTAACAAACAATAAGCAAAAAGACATAAATAAAAAGTGAATTCCATAGTATGTGGGGATCATGCCATGCAGGAGAGGCGACTGAAAGGTGTGATGTCAGTGTGAGTGGCAGGTGGGGACAGCCTGCTGCTTAAAGGGGACAGCCTGGCCAACAAGTGAGATATGGGCAGAGGCGTGGGGCAACTAGAACAGAGTGTCTGCCCCCCCCACCCACGCTGTTGTACAGTGACTCCTCCTGGCTAAGGGAGGTTCATTCATGCAACTAACTATAGGGCAAGCATTCCTGGGACAGTACATAGCCAGCACAGAAACCCGCAGGCTGGAGCATGCCTGGAGCCTTAAGCTTCAACAAATAGAACCCTTCATGATGGGAGAAGCAACCAAGTGGAGAAGGAATAGGAAATGGGGTTTAAAGGTGGTGGGTGGGGGCCTCCCTGGTGGCACAGGAGTTAGTCTCAGCTCTATGAAGCTATCAACAGGCACCTCAGCACAAGTTTGATCCCCGGCCAGGGAGTTGACCCGCATGGCGCAGCAGACCTCTCCTGTCTCACCCGCTGCTCCCTCCGCAGTGTATTTCAGTTAATCCACCTGTTCTGCTCCCCACTCTGTCTCTGGTGAATCCTCTCACCCCCACACCTCTGGCCTGTATCCCAGATCTTGGTGCATAAATAAAATATATCTTTAAAATAAATAAAATAAAACAAAATAAAGGTGGGGGGTGGAGCTGAGGCATTTGAAAAATGTGGAGGGAGCGCTACTCCAGGCCGGCCACTGTGCAGGTGCTGGAGATTTTGAGCCAGCAACTCTGCCCCTGCTGCCTGGAGCTGGCAAACCTCCAGGGGCGTGTGCTACCAGAGGGAGGGAAGAGGGGCTCGGAGAGGACCAGATGAAAACCCAGGCACAGAGCTTACTTGTGTATGAGGAATAAATGGGCCAGCGGCTTGTGCCCTGGTTCTTGCACATGCAGATCACTCGGCATCTTCTATGCACTCTGGGCCACCACCAGGAAAAGGCGTCTCTCCTGAACATGGAGACCTGCTCACCTAGGAAAGGAAAATGCCAAGGGATGGTGCTCAGGGGGGAACATGAGGCCATAACACCAAGTTCGTCTTATACCCGTCCCAGACAGGGGCACAGTGCTCTCCACTAATGGGGTGCCAGACTGATCTCTGGCCCCCCCTTTACCCACTCCCCAAGACCCTCCAGGCAATGAGTGAGCCAAGGGTCTGGACCGTGGCTTCCAGTGTGGATGCAGCATCTCAACCTTGTTTCTACTTTCCTGAGTCAAATGCAAAAGAGGCCTTTGCAGGAGCACACACAGTTGGCTCTATGCCTGCGGGAGCAGTAGAAAGCAGCAGGGATGAGCCTCTCCCAATAAAAATTAATGGAACAAAAGCCCCCCTGTGCGCTGCCTGAGTTTCATCTCCCAGGGAGCTTATGTCTCCATCTTCTCTCACCAAATCCTCATTCTGGGCAATTCTGTCTCCCGGGTGTCTTTGGCATAGGTCAAAGGCCCATGAATAGATGGGAAGGGGCCAGGACTAAATCAGACCCAGGTTCACACATACCCAACGCACACAGGCTCACAGACACATGTACACGTGTGTGCATATGCCCACGCACTCTACACACACACTCGTGCATATGCATGCATACACACACACCCCTACCTTCTTGCTCCCTGTTTTTTAACAAGTGAAATCATTGGCAACCTCATGGGGGAGGAAGTCACATGGGGTGGGGGTGGGCGGGTAAATCAGCAGCAAGGAATTCTATGGAAGGATAAGTCCATTAAGGGTTTGCAAAAAAGCTAAGACTTGCATTTTTATTTTTTTCACTTTCATATACAAGCTCTCCACATGTACATTTTCACTGTGAATGACTCAGGAGAGCAAGCTTACACGGCACAGAGCACAGCATAGAAGCAACCTTTGCCCACCTAGCTCCCGCTCCCCTCCTCAGAGGTAAACACCATTGTGCTGGATTATTCTACCATCAGCCTGCTCACTCTGGGAACCCTAAATCTCAGAACCACCTTCCCTATATGGTCCTGGGTCAGGGTTGGCAAAAAGTAAAGTTGTTTGAGATGTAGAGGCCAAGTGAAACATCCCCATAATGTTCTGAGGTTTGCTGAGGTCCAATGACAGAGCAAGAGCACTGGCCTCTTCCCTCCTTTTCAAGTTCACCCTCCCCCTGGCAGCCGGCCGGGGAGCAGTGATTTCAGAGAACCCCCAGATGCTTCGCTGTAAGCTCACAGAGACAAGTAGACTACCCTGGGGATCCCTTGTGCAACCTCACTCCAGCAGCTACAGACTCCAGCTTCCAGAACTTCCAACACGCCCCCTGAGCCGTGTCCTAGTCAGCTGCTGCCACAGCTGTGTAAGGACTAACTCCCACTATAAATTCCTTATTCTATGACTCTCTGTGTTCCTGCTTCCCTGCCTGACAGGGACGCAACTGTCCACAGTGCTGAGGGCAGTCATTCTTCCTCCGCACGATTCTCTGCTTTCTTCCTCCTACTTTCCTCCAGTGTAATCATCCAGGTGAGATTTCTGTGGCAACACATACAAATCAGCCTCACCTGTTTCATGGCTACATAGTATCCCACCACATGTACTGTGTATTTAACCATTTCCAAATGACACACTTAAGTTGTAATCCAGTTTTCCACCCCGACAAAAGATGCTGCAGTTTCTTTATGCCGAGTGTGTCCATCTTCTTTAGGGTAGATTCCTGGAATAATCAGATGAACATATTTTTAATTTCTATAGTTTTGATCAAATTGCCTTCCAAAAGACTTCTTTCTCCAAAGAATTCTTGCCCTGCCAGCAACATTGCCCTTATTCCCTAAACACTGGTTTCTCTGTGCTCTGACTGCCCTGGAGATCCAGGAGGTGGGAGGCAGGGGGAGTGGGTATTGCAAAGGAGGGACATAGACACTTGGAAAGCAAGACGCATGGTCATGGAGTGCACCAGCCTTAAAAGAAATATACAACTAGCTCATTAAAGACTAAATGACAGGCAAAAAGAATTGCCATGCATGAGAAATGGGTAGCATAAAATTAATACTGAGAAGACTGAATGATTTCAGAAATTTCTCAATGACTGCCCATGCATGTCAGGGATATACATGTGTACACACACACACACACACTTCAGAATCTGCTGCTGAAGCTTAAAATCCCCTGAAATACTTTCTTTCCTCATTAGAGATAAGGCTCAGGGCCTCCCCGGTGGAGCAGCGGGTTGAGCACAGCACTGTGAAGCTGTCCACAGCCTCTGCAGTGCAGGTTCGATTCCCGGCCAGCTAAGGAGATTCCCACATGGCATGGCAGACCTCTCCTGTCGCGCCCACTGTTCCCCTCAGCAGTGCTTTTGGTTTGTCTGCCTGTTCTGTTCCCCACTCTGTCTCTGGTGAATCCTCTCACCATCCCGTGCCTCTGACTGCACCCCAGCCATTGTATAAATAAAGAATAAATCTTTAAAAAAGATAAAGACATAAGGCTCAAATAAAAATAACCTCTATCAGTAAATAGCAGTAATGTGTGAGGCACTTTGCCAAATGCTTTACATGCTTTCTGCCCTCTGAGGTAGGTATTATTCCAGTCTTACAGGTGAGAAAACTAAGTTTTAGAAGAGTGAAGCCAAACAACTAGTAAGTGATAAAGAATTTAACCTCAGCGTTATATGCCCAGACAACCTTGGCCACCGCACTGCCCACCCAGGGAAAGGAAGTCCCTTTTAGATACAGACACCTTCTGCCACACTTTTGCACACTATTCCCTAGAGTAAAGGGCAATGAGTGCAGGGAAAGACTCGGTAGAGAGGGACAGTGGGTGGAGAAAGATGCTGTGGTTGGAAATCTAATGGTTATCTCCTTCCTGGACAGTATGCAGATGGCAGAGCCCGATCAGCTCAAACGGGCAGAGGACCAGAGCAGGCAGGCAGCCAACCTCCCCATTGGGGCAACTCTTCCCAATTTTCCTGTTAGGACCGTGGCAAGAAGCCAGAAGTGGCAGAAGGGCATCAGTTCCTCCTCTCCCTGGAGTTTCTTTCTGGTTGCAAAGTTTCCAGTGTGCAAGGCCCACTTGACAATAGCTGGCTGCCATGCTGTAAAATAAGTTGGTGCCCACATTTGCTGATTTTGGACAGCAATGGCCTTGGAATAAAGAGGTAGGGAAGGAGATGAGTGTAGAGGGACAAGCTTGGGGCCAGGTCAGGGAGGCGGGAGCTAGAAAAGTGACAGGCGGAGGCACTTCGTAAGCAAGGACAGAGGATGCCTAGGGCAGCTCAAGGAAAGGGCAGCTCCCATGCAGACCCAGCGCCAACTGCCTGGCAGCGCCGGGGCAACAAGTCTCCTGGTGACAGGGACGCCTTACAGTTCCTGAGAACCAGGGGTCCAAGCACATATCCTGCCACCGTCCTTTAGGAAATCCATTCTTGCTTTTATAGCTCAAAATTAAATCCCTTCAGTGAGCTCTGAGCACTCTGGGAAGTCCCACATGCCCCAGAAAACAAAGGAAACACACCTCTGGGAGTCACTGAGCATGGGGAGCGGAAGGGAACACAAGGGTGCACAACAAGTGTGCCGTGCCTAGAAGGGCCTGTGGAGGGGTGGGGGATACAGCAGCACACCTGGGGAGGTGGGGAGGGCCGTTGAACTGGGCACCCATCCCACTGCTCCCCACACCACACAGGGACCTGATGATGACACATTGGCTGTGGTGACCCCTTGCAGAGGTGAGTTGCTCTGTCCCCCACCCCCCACAGGCCCTTCTAGGCACAGCACACTGGTGGCTCACCCTTGTGTTTGCCTCCCTCCCCATACTCAACGATTCCCAGAGGTGTGTTTCCTTTGTTTTCTGGGGTGTGGGGGACTTCCCAGAGTGCTCAGAGGCTCCTGCAGGGCCGCAGAGCAGTGAGTAGCTGCTCCAGCCACAGCTGCCCTCGTTCATGCTGAGTTCAGAGTTAAAGGCAGCCAAGGAGGCAGCCCTGGTGGAATGGAGAGATTCAGGGTGGGGCTGCTTATTATATGCAAAGCTTGAGAGCCACCGCAATAGAACCGTGTGTGTCTAAGTAATGGCACAGCGCTGGGTAGAATATTATACAGCCATTAGGCATGATAGTTATAAAGGCTAAGTAGCGATTTAACATGGAAAATCATCATAATGTGCAACTTCCATAATGTGCAACTTCCATAATCCGCAACTTCCAACTCCCACTGATAATGACAAATATGCTCTTTATTCAAGTCGGTAAACACTAGAAGAGTAGGGCTGACTGTCACAGCAGTGAGGGGAGTGTGGGATTATGGGTGAGGTTCCCCTTCTGCCTTCCACAGTTTCTATCTGAGGTGACAGGCGAAGAAGCAAAGTTGTCTGTGTAGTGACTGTGATGAACCTACATCACTGATCCCAGTGAGTGAGAACCAAACCACACGCACGCAGCACACACACTGCATACAGCAGAGACCACACACACCACCACATACATGTTCACTACACACGTGAGCACACACCCCACATACCACAGTGTTACATATTACATGTATCAATACACATCTCGTCTATCCACCTCACATATGTGCGACATGAATGCACACGTATTTCACATGCCTGTAACATGAATATACTTGACACTTATCACTGTTCTATATGCACACAATCCATATATACACCCCGCACATCACACACCTACCATATACACCACACTTAATACATACTACACCACACACACATACTCCCCACAGGGACACGCTCACATAATTTTATTTCCACATGCATTTCACAAGGATATCAGTTGATGTAAGGGTGGTGTTCTCAGGAATTCTGGTTGGACATTGGCTCTCCAAGCAGAGCATGCTATGAGCCAATCATTCTCACTCCAAAGACTGTGTGTACTTGAGAGTAATGTCCTGGCCCTGCAGTGGATCGAACACCTGGTGACAAGCAGGTGGAGACCAGAAGGGCCACCTTCTTGGGCTGGAAAGCCCAGCCCACATCCATCCCAAGCAGAACACGCCCCTCCTCCTCTTGCACAGACTGGCTCTCACAGCTTTCTTTGCTGCAGGGTGCGCAGACACACACCAAGCTGGCCCCCCAAGGGCCTCATGATCACAATGCTGGTACATGACTTGCTGGAATCTTCCAGCATGCAACATTAGGCATGGTGCATTGCATGTAGACAAATCAAATTAATATACACTGTCACTGCCCAGTTGAGCAGCTGTAGTCTTTGTGTTAAATTTCATAGTTAAAATGAAACACTTTTCTGTTACTGAACTGCAGCTCCACTGGGCAACTATGATGGTAACCTGCCAACATCACGCCTCGGGATGCCAGCACAGCCTCAAAATGGCAAAGCAAACTGGATTGACAAGGTAATTGAGGAGTTGCCACTTGTCACCAAAATAAAACAGTGATGTTGAGTCACTTCTTTTAACCAAAAGTTTGTAGAAACTCAGCATCCCCAGTAAACATTCGCCTGGCCCAGTTGATTAGGGCAGGGTGTGGCGAAGGCCAAGCTTACATGCAGTGTTGGTCTAATTATCTTGCTCAACTCGTGCTCAAGACATCTCCATGTCCCTGCACATGCCACACGCCCCAGTGCCGAGCTCGACTCCAAGCAGTGCACTTTACAGGCAACCCGTACATCCTTTTCAAAATCACAGTCAGTGTTATTAGTCTCAAGATACAGCTGAAAAAAATGAGATCAGACCAAGAAAGACTGTAACCTAGTGACTCAACCAGTAAATGACACAAGCAGGGCTCAGACCGGGTTCTGATGGAATCCAAATCCCAAATTTGTCCAGCTGGCATTGGCTAGCAGCGTGCAGACCCTTGGCTGCTGGAGAAAGCAAAACCACAGCAAGGCAAAGCTTTGCTGGTGACAGAGTAGCTGTGGTGTCTCCCTGCAGAACACATCGTGGCTATTCTCAGCACACTGGGCGTTCGGCTCACAAGTGGCATATACGCCTGTGTTTAAGGCCCAAGTTTACCAAGAAGCCACGCCTCTCCTACACCCTGCAGCCCCAGATGTCAGGAGCGTGCACTGTCTTGGCTAAGCTGACACTTACCAGTCAGGTCCCACTTGAAATGCTTTCTGCAATTCGTGGTATTTCACCTTTTTTCCGTGGGCTTCCAAGCCTCTGTAGACCACTTCCACTCCACCCCACCCCACCCATCCCAGGCAGAATGGGCTGTCATCTCTGTTGGAGATGACACCCATAACATTTCACAGCTCCTTGAATCTGCACAATCCTCCAGTCTCAATTCATGTTGTAAAGCATATAGTGTGCTAGTGAGGAGTGTTGACACAGCAAGAGAAAGGAAAGGCGATCAGATCCACAGTCTGTAGAGCAGAGAACTCTTCTTCCAAGGGCAGCAGGCTTTTCAGTTTCCAAGGTCAAGGTTGTAAATCTCTCTCTGCACACAGAGTGTGCAGCTACAGGAAAACCACCAGGGGCCAGGCGCCCCAGATTGGATGGCCCTAGTCAGAACAATTATCCAAATATTTTGGTAGGCCACAGAGTAAAAGAATTATGAGTTTGGGACCCGGGATTCTTTTCTCTGCCAAAGAACTGTTTCAGCGCGGGGCAGCAGCTCATATTTTCCACTCCAGGTAGATCAATGTCGCCAGGAGGATGTGAGTGGAGTGGGCCATTTCAAGTGCAACCTCAATAGGTATCTGCACCAGGAAAGGGAAGGCTGCTATTAGGGAAGCCTCAGGGTCTG